TCTGCTCTATATGTAGTCTCTTATCAGTCTCTTATCAGTCTCTGCTCTATATGTAGTCTCTTATCAGTCTCTTATCAGTCTCTGCTCTATATGTAGTCTCTTATCAGTCTCTTATCAGTCTCTGCTCTATATGTAGTCTCTTATCAGTCTCCTATCAGTCTCTGCTCTATATGTAGTCTCTTATCAGTCTCTTATCAGTCTCTGCTCTATATGTAGTCTCTTATCAGTCTCTTATCAGTCTCTGCTCTATATGTAGTCTCTTATCAGTCTCTGCTCTATATGTAGTCTCTTTTCAGTCTCTGCTCTATATGTAGTCTCTTATCAGTCTCTTATCAGTCTCTGCTCTATATGTAGTCTCTTATCAGTCTCTGCTCTATATGTAGTCTCTTTTCAGTCTCTGCTCTATATGTAGTCTCTTATCAGTCTCTTATCAGTCTCTGCTCTATATGTAGTCTCTTATCAGTCTCTGCTCTATATGTAGTCTCTTATCAGTCTCTGCTCTATATGTAGTCTCTTATCAGTCTCTTATCAGTCTCTTTTCAGTCTCTGCTCTATATGTAGTCTCTTATCAGTCTCTTATCAGTCTCTGCTCTATATGTAGTCTCTTTTCAGTCTCTGCTCTATATGTAGTCTCTTATCAGTCTCTTATCAGTCTCTGCTCTATATGTAGTCTCTTATCAGTCTCTGCTCTATATATAGTCTCTTATCAGTCTCTGCTCTATATGTAGTCTCTTATCAGTCTCTTATCAGTCTCTGCTCTATATGTAGTCTCTTATCAGTCTCTGCTCTATATATAGTCTCTTATCAGTTTCTGCTCTATATGTAGTCTCTTATCAGTCTCTTATCAGTCTCTGCTCTATATGTAGTCTCTTATCAGTCTCTTATCAGTCTCTGCTCTATATGTAGTCTCTTATCAGTCTCTTATCAGTCTCTGCTCTATATGTAGTCTCTTTTCAGTCTCTGCTCTATATGTAGTCTCTTATCAGTCTCTTATCAGTCTCTGCTCTATATGTAGTCTCTTATCAGTCTCTGCTCTATATGTAGTCTCTTATCAGTCTCTGCTCTATATGTAGTCTCTTATCAGTCTCTGCTCTATATGTAGTCTCTTTTCAGTCTCTGCTCTATATGTAGTCTCTTATCAGTCTCTTATCAGTCTCTGCTCTATATGTAGTCTCTTATCAGTCTCTTATCAGTCTCTGCTCTATATGTAGTCTCTTATCAGTCTCTGCTCTATATGTAGTCTCTTATCAGTCTCTGCTCTATATGTAGTCTCTTTTCAGTCTCTGCTCTATATGTAGTCTCTTATCAGTCTCTTATCAGTCTCTGCTCTATATGTAGTCTCTTATCAGTCTCTTATCAGTCTCTGCTCTATATGTAGTCTCTTATCAGTCTCTTATCAGTCTCTGCTCTATATGTAGTCTCTTATCAGTCTCTTATCAGTCTCTGCTCTATATGTAGTCTCTTATCAGTCTCTTATCAGTCTCTGCTCTATATGTAGTCTCTTATCAGTCTCTTATCAGTCTCTGCTCTATATATAGTCTCTTATCAGTCTCTTATCAGTCTCTGCTCTATATGTAGTCTCTTATCAGTCTCTTATCAGTCTCTGCTCTATACGGGCTACGATAACAGATGAGGATTAAAACAATATCTAAAGTGGTTTCTAGATAGCCACAGTACCATCTTGAGACGTTTGATCCTTAAGTACCAGATATCAAAGATATTATTACAACAGAACCTTACAGCCTGTTTCATTTTGGATATCTGTCAGCTCAGGAGTTAAAATGGGGTTTCATTTAATTTCCCCCCCAGCTTAAATTCTTATTTATGATCAAAACATTTTCTTTAATTTACATCCTAATATAAAAGGCACTTTCCGTGTAGGCCGTTTTCATCACAGAGGCAAAAAATGCAATATAATATGAAAATAAAGCACTTTTTTTAATATTCAATCATGGATTTCTTTTCACAGACAGCCAATGAGCACAGGGGGTTTGGTAATGACAGGTTCACTGGGAGGTGGCTAAGGCTGCATTCCAAATGGAACCCTATTTCCCTATATAGTGCACTACTTTTGACCAGAGCCCCCTATGGACACTATATAGGGAATAGGGTGCCATTTGGGATACAGGCAAGGAGGCTGGTAGAGGGTTTGCTTGGTGGCTTCTTGAAACCGTATGACAACAAAATAAAAAATGTAAATCTCACCACACATAATCCAGTAGATTGAGGAAAAGAACAGATTTGAATCGACTTGTGTGTAGAGTGGGATGGCATTTACATGTTTAACCTCCATAATCTGCAGAAGTGAAAATAATCTTACTGCTGAAGTTCTCTGAGAAAGAGACATAGATCTGCGCGTTTTCTGTGTGTCTTTACAGTACAACGGGATCGTCGCTAATTTGTATTTAAACGATGTATAACTTTAGAATTGACTTGTGTAAATGTGTCACTTGATGTGTCAGTTTTTCCAAATGCAATCGAAGGGTATGAAAATAACATCGTTATATCAATCAACATGATCCTCATCCCTTTCCAATGATCCAGACGTCCTGGTGAACAAATATAAAAATCTCTCCCGTTGTAATATTCA